ATACTGAGGTGAACTAAAAAAAGGTTTTGTTACCACTTCCGGTTTCACCTATGCTTTGGGATGTGCAGCAAAGAAAAAAAAAAAAGTTAAGGCTCCCATTTATCCACTTTGCTGTTGAGGTGCTGGAGCAACCACAAAACAGAGCCAACAGCCAGAAACAGAGATGAAAAGAGATGAGAGTGGAGATTGAGAATATGGAGAGGTAGTGCAAGGTGGGAGTGTGGGGCATGTGGGTTGCCAAAAAAAGGCTTTGTTTCCACCTTGAACTCGGGTTTACAACGGTTCACAGAAGGATAGAAATCTAAACGGATGACAGTTTATCTGCACATACAAGTCAGTGGCTGTTAGACTGTGAAGAGATTTTCTTATTTAATTAAAAAGAAGAAGAAGAAGAAGAAGAAGAAGAAGAAGAAGAAGAAGAAGAAAGAAGTCAGATATAATTTTTGACTCGCACAGAGAAACCAAAGATTCGGGAAAAATTGAAGTATGTTTCGTAAAAACCCCGTCAGACTATTGCATGTCTGCCTCGCATTTCAATGGCCCTGTCATAAGAAGTAATGTACGTTTTAAGTCATTGAATCATAATACAGAGTGTGCATGGTTATTAGACAACTTGTATTTTATTTTATTATTAAAGACTTCTCAAGCAAATCAAAATGTTAAACCAAAGACCCGAATATAAATAAAAGTGAGGATTTCACTTCTCAGGATAATTCATGTTTTACCAGTTAGACTCACATTCATATACATATACACAGATCGATACGCAATTTAGCATAATGTGCCTTCTCCCCATGCTCTTAGTGCCAACCAGAAACAACCAATCAGAGCCAGGAGGCGGTTCTTAGCAGTTACCACTGTCAATCACAATCTCGTGTGGCGCTGCTCGTCCCTCTCCCGTTTCCCAACTTGTTCTCTGCTAAGCTGTAGCTAGCAGGGAAAGTTGTGAATGCTCAGGTTAGCATGGGCACCAATGATGGCAGATAAGCCGCTTTTCTGTAAATGTAAATTGTTTCTCCTATATTATCACATTCACCAGCATTGATTGGCAATGCTGGCCTCTGATTGGTTGGTTTTGGTCTGATGAAGTGTGTTTGTTCAGATGGCTATGGTAGTTCTGTATTCTGTCTGTATTTCATGCACCTGGAAACATTTCCAAACAGCCAATAGTATGTGAGAGGAAAAACAGGAGCCTTTGTTGGCCTACTCAGAGCAAAATGTTGGTTTACCGTAGGGGAAAACTCATAGCAGTATTAATTATTATTATTATTAAACTCGTTAGAAGGACTACGAGGTCCATTTCATCAAACACATTTTCCTGTCTTTATGTGTTTTGCAGCGAAGGTGGTAGAAGCCGGCCAGCCTTTGTTATGTCCCTGAGTCAGGAAGGCAGCCACAGGCTTGAGCCGGCTGACTTGTATAGGACATGGCTGGGTTGAGGGACAGATTTAGTAATGACGAAAGGTTTGTGCGACCAGCCAGGTGCACAATCTAATAGCGCTAGCAAGATCCAGAAATCCCCCTTTATTGTTTTTGAAGCGAATAGTATGCTAATTTAAGCATACTGCTGATGTCAAAGTCACACGACACTTTCCTGCACTGCTGGCTTCATCGCTGAAAAATCACAGCTGTGTGGGAAATTGTTCTTCCCACTTGCAATTGATGAATTGCCCAGAGGAGCTCAGAGGGGGCTCGTCTTTGGTTCGTGGCAGAAATATTTGGTGAAAGAAGATTAAATTTCATAAAAAATCTGACGGAAAATGTAAAGGTCTTGAAATCTTAACTTTTTAAAGTTTGGTTGATACCTATAATTGGCCCCACAGGAAAGGCTGAAATGAAATAAATCTGTAAAAAAAAAAAAAAGAAAATATCACAACGGAAGAACATTATACTTCTGCAAGCTCTTGAAGACAACAGAATAATCCCAGAAGCAGATGTAAATAATTTGCTTTTGTAAAGTCTGTGTGAACGCTAATGCAAAAATGTTGAGCTTTTAGACTTTCTGTTTTAGCCACTTTTAAGGCAATCGACCAAAACCAAATGAATTTTCACTTGTTGTTTTAGACTTGACTGCTGCGTCTCGAAGCGCATGTTGCGTCGTGCATCATCTGTGACAACAGTTTGCCTCTGCAGCAACTGAGGTAGAGTGCAAAAGAGGACACAGCCATTGAGTGAGCCACGTGTGAGCACTTGCACAAAGGTGTCGAAGAAAGGAATACGTCAAAACCAAAGTGCAACCCGCATGGCCTCCATCATCCTGCTGTGGTGGCCTTCAAGGACCCTCGTGGTCCTGGATGAGCTTCATTGGCAACAACCAAATCAGCACCAAGAGCAATTAGCAAATGGGTCCAGCAGGTGCTGCGGTGCTAAGCTTAACAACTTTAGCGTCGCAGCTCTACCTGACAAAGTATGGCGTGAAAACACCCGCATGTGTACTTGAAGAACTGTAAGAAAATACAGTTTCTGAGATAACTGAGAGAGCACGAGCCACTTTTAACTGGCTGGGATGAACAGCGAAAACAGAGAAAAGATTAAAGGGCACAGTGAACGTCACGTTACCCCAGCCATTTGCTTTTGCTTACCGCAACCATCAGATAACTACAACAGGAAAAGGAAAAAGAAGAAAAAAAAAAACACAAAAAAACGGCTGGTTTCCTTCAGCATATAATTGAATGTCTTATTGCGATCTGGTGCTCTACACAATAAATAAAACGTACAAAAGCAAAGCATGAAAAGTAAATGTCAAAGTTTGAAAGCTTTGACTATAATAAGCCATTTAGTGCCAAGTAAATGCATCAGTCTATCTCCAAAGACGCCAACTAGTCTTCAATCTAAGCAGATGGCATAGAAAAAAAAAGAGTTTGGGTAAGACAACAAATAACTTAATCCTACAGCTCTGAAGCTAACACAAAATAACCTTACAGTGTAAAAAGTGGCTATGAAAATTTATGAAGTTGCTTTATAAATAGGATGTTTAAAAATTACAGAGAAGCAACTTCATAACACCTTATTCTGAAACAAATTGACTAAAGATATATATCACGCCTCATTATTGGAAACCTTTGTTAACATACTTTAAACAACAATATAATACCCACAAAACCAATGTTTTACCAGGAAGAACATCGCTAGAACAACAACAAACATGTTGTTGCTACAACATAGCAACAGTCAGAGACATCTGACCAATGCAAATGATTATGCAAAGCAAGAAGATGAGTCAAGTGGGAAACCGAAACCCTTCAAGTACGTACATAAACAAGAAAAAAATATCATAAATAATGTGATGTATCAGAGGAAAGAAGATAAAACGGTTTAATTTGAATTTTTTTTTCAGCCAAATCAGTCTCTTAAATGTCATGCACTTCAAAGTAAATTGTATATAAAGAGAGCAGAATGCTTAAGTTCACAGAAGAGTTCAGGAAATAAATTGACAAACTGATCCTGTGTTCAAGGACAATGCCATTCCAAGCTTTTGTGAGTTATATAAAAAGGCGATGAAGAATTCACTTCTAAACAAGATCTTTTGTACTTTTGGACTTCCTTAATTTAATATTATACAAGTCTATGTGCTACCCTAAGGAACATCTGAACTGTTGGTTGAGTACACATTTTATTACAATCAAACAGCTGTGAGAAAACCTAGAATTAAATACACAATTTGATTCTGAACCATATAAACAATCCTTTTCAGCTCCAATAAAACATCCATAGCATTATACAGTCTTGACATGATGGCCCCCAAAAAGGAGTAAAGACAGAAGACTGTGACCTGGATTTTCCATTAAAGGGAATCATTGGTTTCATTTTGTTTTCATTCAAATTTAAAGTCACACAACTTGCTTTGAACTGTTTTGAATGCAAATTGCAGCCCACTGAAAGCCAGGCCATGCATAAGCACAGGTGTATTAAACAGTCATTCACAAAAAAGGCATTTTCTTTTTGTTTGACTCATGTTAATTAAAACTGCTAATATATGGCATAAAAAAACCAGGATAATTACCCCAAGACTGATTAATAGAGAATTTCTTTGGTTACACCAAGAAAGCCAGAGTCAGTAACTTTTGCCTGGAGGGTAAATCTAATTTCAAAAGACTGTGTGATCTTAGTTGATTAAAGATCATTTAGAAAATAAAAAGTAGAAAAAATTTCATCTAAATGATTTAAACTGTACTTTCTTCTACCTCCATGTAGAGTTCTTACTGTAATTACTGCAGAGGTGATTTTTTTTTTTTTTTTTTTTTTTGCATTTTGCATGTTTTCACACATTATGTTTCTGCAATTACACACTTCTGACAACATCTGTAAATTCCTGTAAAACAACCGACTAAAAATATAATATGTGGCGTCAGAGTTTTAAAAAAAAAAGGTATTCCAGATATTATTTTGCCCTGTTGTGAGATATAATAACGGTGCTTGAAAATATCAGACATTCATGATTTTGGATAGGAACTCTTATCCAAAATCAAGAACAAGACAAGAACATAAGAAAATTCAGCTGGATATAAAACATTTACAATAAAACAGGCACTAAATAACCTGCACTGTTTTAGTGGTTTCTGCCTTTTGGATGAAGCTGTGTTGAATACAGAACATCTAACTAAAATATTGTATGCACTTAAATGTGTAGGGGTTATAGACAAATTAGACAGTCGGCTTGGGGCCAGTTCTGTGAATTGACAACTAGTCTAAACACTTTCAAGTTTATTAGGTTTTTCAAAGTTGCCATGTTGAGCAATGAGATGGTGTTCTCTTCATATCAAGTGTTCTCAAAACTTGTCTTCTACATAAGGTCAAATATCGTGAAAACCCGGTCACTTTTGCTTTCAGCTTACAAGCAAAAAATAGCACTTCATGCTGAAAGCTATTTTTTACCCTAAGCAGCTCTAATTTCTCACAGCAAGTCATAACAATAATCTATCTCCCCATTGTCTCTGTTTGAAGGCTTGTATTAAAAATACAATAAAAGAAATACGGGGGCTTCAGCTAACATATCTCACCATAGCAATGGCCAGTCTTTTCCTAGATGGGTTGATGCCTGAAGGGGGGGCTGTGCGGAGCCTAACACTGTACTGGGCCTGTGGTCAGAAAGACAGACAGCAGGTAAAGGAAGAGAAAGAAAGGACAAAAGTAGGGAAGGAAACAAGATGCGTAGGCTTTAGTTTTGCAAGGTACAAGCAGGGAATTTGTTAAGAACCCTTCCCTCCTCCTCCTCCTCCTCTTCCTCCCCCATCCTGCCTGTTGCTTTTCTCTCCTGTCATTCCCAGCAAATGAATGCTGGGGGAGGAGTAATGACACGAGACTTACACGGTGACTCAACGAAGGGCTTTGCGAAGGGAAAAATTGAGGTTAATGAGCTGACATCCCCTCCGCCCCCTGAGCATGTTTCGTCCCCACATGCGTGCCGCCCAGCTCTTTTACATACACTGACAAGCATATTACACAAAACGCATCAGCCAGACAGTAGGGCTGAGCAAGGGCACTAAGCCAAGGAGAGTCGGGAGATGTGATAGCTAAGATTTTCTTTTGAAAGCAAGCGAGAAACTAAGCAAACGTCAAGAATGAATCACATCCAAAACAAACATATAAAAGCGTCACGACAGTGTGAGTAATGTCCAAGGATTAAGGTCCCCTATGTTCCATATTTACATGAAATTAAATTAGTTTTTCCATGACGGACAACAGTCAGGGAGACAAAAATAGAAACGTCAACATTGCATTTAAATAAATAAAAGTAAAGTCATTTAAAACAATACAGTAAAAGTCACATGGCGCAACAAAAGTAAGAGTGAATATTTATTTGACAGGGACAAGGATGTAGATTCAACATGCAACATGCTATTGCACCTGAAGTCATGGCTGATTTGCAATCCTGTTCAAAGCAAGTGGTTGAAAACAAACACAGGCAAAGAACCAGAATGCAAAATTAAAACTTGGAAAAAAGGAAAAGTCTATCTGTAAGTTATTAGAAAAGTTATACTGATGAAAATAATGTGGTAATATCACATTCACCATTATTTTTGTGGAAATTTAAAATAATCTAATATTATCAAAAGGTAACATTTATTTAGAAGTATGGAAGGAAGTACTTCTTGAGATGCCCTGTTGTATTTGACACGGTCAACTTTTAAAGACGTTATTTTCCATCTTGCTGGAAAGCATTGGAAAGCACCTAACCATTGGAAAGCATTCAATCACTTGTTTGCGAGGCGACATATCAGATACCTGACAAGAAGAAACTGTGACAGCAAAGAGGAAAGTTGTGTCAAACAATTCTGACCATCCACTGTGCAGCATTTGATCCTCTGCAGATCAAAATACAACATATTTTAGACCAGGCAACACTGAACTGGACTAACCTACCTCTTTAAAAAAGATTATTTGAGATTTGTTCACATTTGTATTTGCAAAAGCACAAAAAATAAAATGTTCAGTGCTTTGTTAGACATTAGGGTATCCAACAAGTATTCAACAAATATTGTTGCAATACTTTATTGTCAGAGTATGAATGCAAACACATCCCAAGAGAAAAAAAAAAACATACACCATGTGGTAAGAGCAGACAATGGCTTGTGAATGTTCCTTGTTGACTGATGTACAAAAGCCTTTTCCAGTTTAACCGGGTCAAACTGTGAACCATAGGGAGACGGCAGACAGTGTGTGATTTGTAAAACTTTTACCCTGTGCAAAACACACAAACCACATTTTTATTAACAAAATCTTGTCTTGTTCACGAAAAGTCAGTATTGAGTATCATTTCATCTCATGTGCTCATCATCCCTTATATATTTACACACTTACAATTAATGCAAAAACAAAAACTGCATTTGTGCAGTAATCTTCCAACCAGCAGTGGACTAAAGTCTACAACAGGCTTATGCATTTTCGTTAACAAAGTCTACTTGAAGAGCAGCTTCCAATTAAAAAATAGCTTTTTATTTAACAACAAAAAAATAAGTAAATAAATCAGAAATGTTTGTTAGAATGAATGAGGTGCCATTTTACTGAAGGCTAAATATTCTGCAGTGACAAATCAGGCAAGCCAGTGAACCTCGCCTAGTGCAATGACAAAACTTTAATGTCAAGTCTCCCAAATTGCTAAGAAAATTAATCATTTGTTTTGTTTAACAACTGTATAGTTGCCAGGCGTGTAATGAGACCTTGTTGCAGATGAAAATGTCACATTTCTTGTCAAAGTGAAGTCTGAATTAATAATGGGGTCATTAGGAAGTAATTCAATAATTTGCTTCAGGTTTTTGAAGCAGGTTTGAAACCCCTGCTTCAAAATGCAGAATGTGATTTCTGAAACCTTTATGCCATGTGAAAATACAACAATAAAAGTTTTCCCCGAAAACATTGCTGAAATGTCACGTCATTCTCATAAATCCAAACATCTGCATTGTGAGCTGGACGCGTGGTAGGCAGTCTTCCAAATGTCGACAGACGGCCTGACTTCGCCAAAAATGGAAACGGTTTGATTTAGTCAGGTCTAACTGTCAGCCCTTTAGGTTTTACCACAAGCATGACTAAAAAGAACAGTCCACCCACAAGTATAAAGATCTTACAGACTTCTCAATAGTTTGGTTATTAAGGACAAACAGCTCTTAAGCCCACAGTACAGACCACAGGCTAAAAACATCATGTTATTACAGAGCCCAGAGTGCTGAGAAAAACCAATTAGACCTTCAGATGCTCCCCCATTTCTTGGTTATCACGTGGTGGCGAGTGGGTGTAGATGTTAAATAAAACCTTGCTGGCCTTTAACTTGCATCACCGGAAAACCAAAACGAAAAGGTGAAAGGTTTTTTTTTTTTTTTCTTCAAGAAAAGAATTTGGCTTTGCTGAACCTGCATTCTCATATGACCACTAAAAAAAAAAAACTAAACAATGAATGACAACGAAGCAAAAGCTTGTCCAAATGAGGGCCTCAAAAAGCATTTTTATTTTTTACTTCAATGAGCATTTATGAGACAGACATTTGAATGAGTTGTTGGAGCATAAAACTTCAACATGACTTGCTTGTTTTGACAGGACTTCTAAAGACTCGTAGGGTTTCATTTATTTGCAACATTATTTATATTTACTAAGGCATACTGTACAGCTTTTCTCAGTAAATATTTTGCTAATGGAGCTAATGATCTGATATTCACACCAGATCTCAGTAACAACTCAAGTAATTCACACTGAAAGTAATAAGGCAACAATTGTTGTGTGTAAGGTGGGATGATATTAATACTAACCAATGAAAACATAAAAAAAAGGTCCAAAACGACAAAGAAAGTCAGGCAAAACAACTTAGGGCTGACAGGATTTAGGAAACAAACCTGTCAAATTTATATTAGGTGATTTAGTCACTGTTTATGACCTATAAAAAGGTTTCCTCTTTACCAAAATATCAAACAAGAAGCATGCCACCATTGGTAAACGTACAGTTTTGTATCTTGCATTTTCCTCATTAAGTAATGCTTTCTACTCCCGCGGTTTCTCTGCACATTCGCGGTGTAAAACATTCCACTGCTGAAGAAAAGTCAGTGCTAAAGCCTATTTGATGTTTGATGCAGAAAATTTGGACAACCCGATGAACTAGTGGGAGAACACACTCTGGTCAGATGAGACCAAAACCGAAAATGCTGTGAATGTCATCGCACATGCAGTGCATGGATGGGAAATGGGCCATCACATCATTTCAAAAACAACATACAAACAGTAAAGCATGGCGATGAAGGCCTAAAATAGATGCACGGTGAAATTCTCAAAAAGTATGTGAACATAAAAAGAACAAGTGATTTCCACTTGTAAGTTTAACTCACAAAACCAACTGCCGAGAAAGTCTTTATTTCATATTTACCAAGATGTGCTCGATACTAATCTTCACTGCCATATTTTTTGAAGAGAAAGCTTGTGTACCTTAACTGCCTCAAATAAAAAGAGCAGAACTCGTGAAATAAAGTAACAGCCTTCATAAAATGAGAGCTGAACAAAGAAGCAGCAATAGAATTGATAATGGCGTGCGGACCGCTCTCATTGAGCTTGAAAACAATGAGCGAAGGACAGATAGTCATTAGCAGCCATTGTGGATCTTTCGAATGAGTCATTCACATGGAGCCTTGTGCATTTTTAATAAAAATTAAATTGAAGAGCCCCCAAGAACACAAACTCTATAAAATAATAACAGCCATTTCACCTTCGCACTATCCCGAGCCTCTCAATTATTTACCACTAATGAATTGCTCCGGGCCATGTTTTACAATACCAACGATCCCAGAGAGACAAATCAGCTCTCTAAAATACTTAAACACATTTACTCTATTCTGCTTAACTTCTCTCGTGTGAGAGGAACAGGGATGTTAAATCTTCTGATTCTTGTTGCATCGACTGAATCTATGTTTAATTTTCTCAGAATCCCCCCTGGTAGATAACAGTTTACTGGTAAAAGCCAATAAGCAGGTCCTTGATGCTTCACTTGTGCTTTTTATCTGTAATGTTGTCAGAAACAATAAAGGCATGTTTTGCTTTTATTATAGTGCAGCATGCTGCAGCAGTGCTACAGCTCAGGTGCCAAGCCTGCAGCAGTTGCATTTGTATGCCTTTTATTTTGGGTGGGGGGGGGGGGGGGGGGTTTTTTTTTTACAAAGGAAAGTTTTTTGGGGAAAAATGGCAA